AATTATTGCTATCCACCATGTTGACCAGTTATTAGAAATAAAATATAATTAAGGATGCAAAGACATATAAAAATATTGTGACAGGGAGGGTACAGTGTGCAATGAGGGAAATTTGGCCCAGCATTGGCCTACACTTTTTTCATTATCCAACTGTCTGGAGATCTTTAACATGAACATCCTGTAGCACATTGAGTCTCAGTTAAATGTTCCATTTGAACAACTACATATTTTTTATGACCTGCATCAACTGAAAGGATACTGGGTTGATAAGTTTTTATATATGATGTCATGTAACTATAAATAAAATCTATGCTATGATTGAATCCTTGACCTTCAGGTTAGCAAACAAGCATCTAACTGATAGAGCCACCATGGCTCCCTTATTAGAGATATACCTATAAATAGTAATGCAGCAATGTTTATTGTAAAATAAGATTAAAATACTGTTAATTGCCCAACCCTAGTCCTTAATATTATATCTAAATACATGCATCTCAAAATTCATTCAGGTCTTTAAATACATGTTATTGGTATTTTGTGAAATTATATTGAAATATGAGAGTTATTATATAATATGCCTGGAACTGCCAAAAATATTCTTTACTTAAAGAAGATCACGGATTATTGGATTTAAAACAAACAAAGTTCCGGGGTGACCACTTGAGGGAAAGGTAACTTAGGAAGGGTTTATAGGGTCATCCATATATCCATTGGAAAGGTTGGGCAACAAAAAATTATACCTTTTTAAAACGTTTCAAAAAATTCATTTTCTAAATAATGAAGAAAACAAAGATATAAAAAATCACACACAAACATTTCATTACGAACAACAAACAAACATGTTTAACTAGGTGATGTTGGAAATTGGTGAGTTCTGCTAATAAGGGACTCATTGACTGGATATTCAATAAAACAAGTTAAAACAGAGTTCTGAATGTGTTCCATGTGCACCGATTAATTGATGCCTAGATTAAGAATAGAGAGAATCTTTTCAGAACTCACCAATTCAGCACCACAATGACTTGACAACTTTACTTTGACAACAACGAAAGAGTCATAGTGGTCACATAGAAAAGGTAATGAGTATCAGACCAGATAGTGAGCATCAGACCAGATAGTGAGCATCAGACAAGGGGGCAGGAGTAAGATCTGAAACGTACCTTATTCCCTGTATAAATAGGTGAACTCTCTAAAGGATCAATATCTTCAACCTCTTCGTCATTTTGTAAATAAATTGGATTATTAACGTCTAAGTTTCGAGGTTCTTGCATACGTTTATGTCGGTATTGCTGCCACCTGAAATAAAACAAACATTAAACCTACAGATTTAACTAAAATTTTGATTTCTTCAACATTCATTTGAACTCCATTCTAAAAGTAGCTGTCCTCATGAGAATTGTTTATCAAAATAAGTGTTGGCAGCAAGAGATGAGCTCTGGTCATTTAGCTGACATTGAGTCCCATATTGACAACTTAACCGCCATTTTACTGTCTACAAAGTAGCATAACATGATCTCAAGTCATTTATTTAACGTATTGTCAAGGCATTCTTATTTTTACTGATTGCATTAATTTGTATCATTCCAAAGTGAGTTTTGCAATCCCAAGTACGAAGGCCCTAAGATATTATTATAAGCGTTTGCCACAGTAAAGTCGGATATTGTTAAGCATTTGTATAATGACATAAATCACAGACTTCTGACTGAAAATTAGAATGGTGGTACTGTGGTACACATAATAAAAATAAGAAATAAGGTGATTTTAGTGTTCCAGTTTTCTGATTGGTCAATCACTAAAAATGATTTCAAATTCAATTTCTATTCAATCAGATAACTCTATTTCTTAAAATCCTGATTTTATCTTAGTTAAGTTTTGGAGAATAAGGACCCAAAAACCCTCTATACAATCTCTTTAATTTTCTTATATAAATATCTTACCTTTTACGTCTACGACAGATAATAAAGGCCACTACTAATACTATAACTATAAAACTAACTATAATAGGTATGACAATAGTCAGTGTATCTGAAAATACAATCATTACCATTTAACACAACCACATGTAATAAATACTGGAACACAACTAAACAACGGGTACGGATAATCCTGATGCCATTTGCCTGGTTATGTTGATCAAATGGTGGTCAGGAGTTCTAATCTCAGTCAGCTTGTGGAACTCTTATGACCTTGAATAAGTCATCTTTCCTCATTATTACAGTGGTCTCAGCTGTAAATGCGTACTGAGTAAGTTATCTTTCCTCATTATTCCAGTTGACCCAGCTGTAAATGAGTACTGAGTAAGTTATCTTTCCTCATTATTCCAGTTGACCCAGCTGTAAATGAGTACTGAGTAAGTTATCTTTCCTCATTATTCCAGTCAACCCAGCTGTAAATGAGTACTGAGTAAGTTATCTTTCCTCATTATTCCAGTTGACCCAGCTGTAAATGAGTACTGAGTAAGTCATCTTTCCTCATTATTCCAGTTGACCCAGCTGTAAATGAGTACTGAGTATGTTATATTTCCTCATTATTCCAGTCAACCCAGCTGTAAATGAGTACTGAGTAAGTCATCTTTTCTCATTATTCCAGTTGACCCAGCTGTAAATAGGCATAATAGACACACACAAAATATAGACTTCTTACTTGATAACAATGAACCTGTTTGAGGTTGACCTATATCTTTATCTTCACAGAATGTTCCTGTAAACCCTTTATTACAACTGAAATTATAAACAACAGTTCATTACAACTGAAATTAAAAACAACAGTTCATTATAACTGAAATTATAAACAACAGTTCATTACAACTGAAATTATAAACAACAGTTCATTACAACTGAAATTATAAACAACAGTTCATTACAACTGAAATTATAAACAACAGTTCATTACAACTGAAATTATAGACAACAGTTCATTATAACTGAAATTATAAACGACAGTTCATTACAACTGAAATTATAAACAACAGTTCATTACAACTGAAATTATAAACAACAGTTCAATACAACTGAAATTATAAACAACAGTTCATTACAACTGAAATTAAAAACAACAGTTCATTATAACTGAAATTATAAACAACAGTTCATTACAACTGAAATTATAAACAACAGTTCATTACAACTGAAATTATAAACAACAGTTCATTACAACTGAAATTATAAACAACAGTTCATTACAACTGAAATTATAGACAACAGTTCATTATAACTGAAATTATAAACGACAGTTCATTACAACTGAAATTATAAACAACAGTTCATTACAACTGAAATTATAAACAACAGTTCAATACAACTGAAATTATAAACAACAGTTCATTACAACTGAAATTATAGACAATAGTTCATTACAGCTGAAATTATAAACGACAGTTCATTACAACTGAAATTATAAACAACAGTTCATTACAACTGAAATTATAAACAACAGTTCATTACAACTGAAATTATAAACAACAGTTCATTACAACTGAAATTATAGACAATAGTTCATTACAACAGTAATTATAAACAACAGTTCATTACAACTGAAATTATAAACAACAGTTCATTACAACTGAAATTATAAACAACAGTTCAATACAAATGAAATAACAAACAGTTCTTCAATTCAAAAGCTAGTTAGATTGTCGTCTACTAGGGAATAAGGTACTGTGGGTTCAAATCCTCCTCGTGGTAAGAACAATTCTGATGCTATACCCACAATGATTGTACACGCTGGTCTGTTATTTTTCAATTCCCGTTATCAACTATAACTGCAGCATTTCACTAAAACTTAGCATTTTATGATTAGCTATTGAAGTTATTAGCAGCATTTCAGCTAGCGACTTCATATACAGTTAAGCATTTTAAAACTACAGGTCCTACAGACATCTGACAGANAATTAATCTGCATTAAAATGATGGCATAAATAGATTTGATACATAAACAAGAAAACCTGGAGACTTTGGATGATTCTAAAGAGACTCAGACTGAAGACCTACCTACAAACAGGTGAACCACCAACTGAACTACATTGTCCATTGACACATCTACATCTTTCACAATGACTTCCATCATGGATCTCATCACAATCACATTTAGCTCTGTTGTTTTCTGAAATTATCATCAACACCATTTTATAGAAACAGGGAGGCAGATTGAACAGTTCAATGCACTTTGTTCAATGGGTTCAATTGTGAAGAATACTCTCCTAATTTATTTTTTCGCCCTAACCATACCTTACTTACTTTCTCATTGGATTATCATCATTTTCAACAGAATCGCAGAGACAAAAAAGTTTTTGTAATAAAATTTGCAGGTCCGAGGAATCTTCATAGCAAGTTGACCAGAGGAATCTTCATAGCAAGTTGACCAGAGGAATCTTCATAGCAAGTTGACCAGAGGAACCAGAGGAATCTTCATAGCAAGTTGACCAGAGGAATCTTCATAGCAAGTTGACCAGAGGAATCTTCATAGCAAGTTGATCAGAGGAATCTTCATAGCAAGTTGATCAAAGGGGAAAGGTGAACCTTGAGGTGTTATGTTTAAGATATAACCAAATATATAAAATTTGTATTTATACTAACCTACTGTGCAGTTTCCTAGGTTACATTCATATTGTTGACATAAACATTGTAAACCTTCACATGGACAATTACAATTACCTACAAAAACATAATATATATGATAAACATTGTAAACCTTCACATGGCTATGTAAACTATGTGTTAATTTGAACCAGCCGAATCACAAAGTTGATAATAACTCAAGATGAAGATAAAGATTCCTGAAGCAATTGATTTTCTACTTAGTTTTATAAGTACTAAAGATAGATTGATTAAAAAATACCGAAATATTGTTATATGGTGATATATTTATCATGATATATAGTCATTTTTGTCCAGATAAGATCATGTACACAATTCTTACAATTAACTTAATGTTTATAACAAATGATTTCATGGCTGCGGTGGTTTTGTTTACATTTTCTTCAAAATGATATCCACTGGAACCTAATATCGCCCAGTAGAAAGAGATTGAATACTACCTTTATCCTCTACAGTTGACTGACAGATTTCATCACAGTTCTGAATAGATCTGGCACAGTTTGGTGTGTGGTAGCCTGGTAGACAGGAACAATAGGCTGTGTTATTTTTATCATGATGACAAACTCCACCATTATAACAATGTAAATCTTCACATTGATTACAATGAACTCCTACAAATAAAATGTATTTATCATTATTTTAGATTTTTGTCACAGTCTAGATTCTTGTCATGAGTTTAACAGAGCAGCTGTTTTTACTATGTCAACAATTGAATCATGCAATTGAAGTGAAAATGAATTTGATTGGATGATGCCACTCTGTTAGCTGATACATGGGGTGGCCCAGAAAATTGATAAGAATTTCCATTTCGGAATCATTCAGAAAGTATTGAAGTTCAAAACATAATGGTTTGACCTCAATAGTCTAAAGATATTTGACATCTTTTCCAAAAAAAAATTAGGATCATAAAAAAATAACCTTTTTAAAACTCTGTGACACCGAAAGTAATTATAGTACATTGCATTCATTTGATTTTACAGCTGGATCAACAGTTTTAATGTAGATCCTTTCAACCAACCTTTCCTTGGTCATCATTTTGGCCTTGATATTTCCTGGATTATCTCTACCCCTTAACAGATTATAATCCCTTTATCAACAGTTTTACTAAAGGGTCATTAATTGTTTGAAGTAACTTGACAAAAGGACGTCAAAAAATGAAAATCCAGTCATGATTTTTACAACCTAATCAAAAACTAGAAAAAAAGGTAAAGTTCCCATAGGATTAAAATTATATTTCTTACCAACGAAGCCAGGCTGACAGTGACATCTAACATATCCACTTGCTTCTGTTTCACATGTTGCCTCATTAAAACAGTGAGCACATTTCTCTGTTGTATTATGTTCACATCTTTCACCCGAGTATTGTGATGAACAGCTGAAATTATCAAATGTTGAAATATATTCATATTTCTGGAGAAATATTACCGAAGGACAAATTAATACAATCCTTCCCAAAACATATTAAATGGATTAAAAAGCATTGATATCCTCCATTCAAAGTCAGATGTCTGTGACTCTTGTAATTTAACTAAAACAAAGCATTTTATGAGGTAAGTATCTCAAAGGTCTTAGATAGTATCAGCAAGCTCTGCGGTAGTGGAGTCAAATACAGTTAAGTATATCTATAATTACAGGAACTACAGACATCTGACTGGAAACTGGAATGTACAGCCTGTAGCACAGAGGATATCAGCTTAATGTCCAATCGAAACGACAAGAAGCATCTTCAAGGTCATCCCCTTGGACCTTCATCATTGCAGGGAGAAACTGGGTTGAAAAATCCTATGGTATTCTCTCGATCTATGTTCGGATTGAACTCTGGACCTTCAGGTTATCGAGCAACATCAACATCATTGAGCCATAGCTCGCTACAATTTTGAAATTTAAATTCAGGATTTTAATTCAATACAGTTTACAATATAAAGATCTCTTGAACAGAATAATAATGATATAGTGCTCAATAAGAGAATATAATGTT